GCGCTCCACTCTTTCCCCCAGTCACTATTCACCAAAGGATGTGGAGCATTGTCTCTGTGGACGGTGTTATGCCTGTTGATCTTGATGTCCCCGACAACTATCGTTCTGAACCCCAAGCCTCACAGGGTTTCTTAGTCTGAAGTCTTTACAGAAAGAGATAACCAGGTCTTTCTCCTGAGGAGATACTGGTGAATTTCAACCACTGACCTGCCAATTAGCCACCAGGGCTCCTTGGGAAACGTTTGTAGGTGGTTTAAAAAAAAAAAAAAAAAAGGCAGGGCGATGGGAAGCTGGGAAATGAGGATTTGCAATAGGAGAGACAGGAGGTGAGACTCAGACCATTGTTGTTCCAACTTCACTGTGGCATAGGGTGTACAATCCCTGGCTGCCACCCACTAGATGCCAATGGCACCCACTCCCACGTGGTCACAATCAAAGATGTCTTCATGAGCAAAGAAAACGTGTTCTAGCCCACAATGGAGTGTGATTGTACCTCCTTAAGGAGATACGTGGATGAACCTCGAAAACATGCTGAGGGAAGTGGGTCAGCCGTGAGAGGACCAATGCTGTATGATCTCACTTACATGAAATGAGCAACAATGGAGCCCTGGTAGTGCAGTGATTAAAGCCCCTGGCTGCTAACCCAAAGGTAGGTGGTTCGAACCCACCAGGTACTCCTTGAGAGAAAGATGTGGCTTCTGTAAGGATTGAAAAACAAAAACAACAACAACAAAAAAAAAAACCGGAAGTCTGTTTCTTTCAGATTTACAGCCTTCTCTGTTTTGCTGGGTTGTTGTGAGTTGAGATCCACACGGTGGTGGTGGATTTGGTTTTTTTTTTTGTTATCAAGTTATTGGTAGCTCCTAGGGCTGTGGGGGGGAGAATACAGGGGCCTACTTTTTGCTTAGAAGGCGCTGCACTTATGATAAAGGTGGTAGATGCTTTGGAAAAAGTTGATGAGAATGGTGGTACAGCTTTAGGAACGTGATCAATGTCCCCAAACTGTACAGGACAATGTCCCTGAACTGTACAGGACAGGCAGAGCAGAACTGCTCCACAGGGTTCCGAGGCTGTGAATCTTTCATGGAAGCAGACTGCTCGTAGTTCCCGTGGGTTCAAACAGAACACCTTTCAGTTCACGGCACGGTGCTTTAACCACAGTGCCACCAGGGCTCCTGGTACACATTGTTGTTAAGTGCCGTCAAGTCGGTTCCAACCCATGGCCACCTTGTATATGATTTCCAAGGAGTGGCTGGTGAGCTAGAACCAGCAACTTTGTGGTTCAAACCAACTTGGCAGTCTAGCACATTAGCCCACAGCGCCACACCAGGACTCCCCTTGTATACGTGGGGGTAGTTCAATTGCTGTGTGTTTTGTTGCATGTATTTTCAACACCTTTTAAAACAAAAATGTCTCCAGATATTGCCAAATGTCCTTTGTTGGGGGAGTGGTGGGAGTAGGGGATGGCAAACTCCCCTTTGCCTAAGGAGCCCTGATGTTGACTGATAAGTTTCTTTCTCTGTACTAAGACCAAAGTGGCAATGTGGGTTAATGCGCCAGACTGCAAAGGCATTTGAACTGCAAGTTCGGCAGTTCAAGCTCACCAGCTGCTCCTCGGAAACCCTATACAGGGTCGTTATGAGTTGGAACTGACTGGACGGCACTTAACAACAACAAGACCAAAGTAATAACTTTGATACTGTTCATACCCTTTTTTCCACAGGATTGCTGGCTCTGGGAGCTAGTGAGTCGGCCATGGTTACCAAAGTGTTCACAGGCGTGAACCTGTTGATTCTCAGCTTTATCATCCTTTCCGGCTTCATTAAGGGAGATCTACATAACTGGAAGCTTGGAGAGCTGGACTACAACCAGAGCTTGACTGGACTCAACACCACCTCTAGGTGAGGAGAAACAAGCATGACCACCACAGCATGGCGGGGAGCAGGGGGTTCTGAAAGAGCTGTGGACGCAAGACTGGCAACCAGAAGGCTGACTTTTCAAATTCACCTGGCAGCTTTTTGGGAGAAGGACCTGATGGTCGGCTTCCTTAAAGATCGTTGCTGTCAGATGCCATTGCGTCAGTTCGACGTCATTCCACCTTATCGATGACAAAATGAAACACTGCCCAGTTCTGCACCATCTTCACAAGCTGGTGTTTTTCCAAGCCCATCATTGCAGCCACTGTGTCAAATCAGTTCATGGAGAGTCTGCCTCTTTTCTATTTTCCCACACATGATGTCCCTCTCCGGGGACTGGTCCCTCCTGACAAAGCACATTGGAATTATGGTGTTGGTGAAGCACATTGACTATACTGTGAAGGGCATGAGGAATGAGCAAATCTGTCTTAAAAGAATTACAGTCAGAATTATAGTCCTGGATGATTCTTTCTCTTATACTTTGAACATGTTATCAGGAGGAAAATATATGTTTAAAATATTACAGCCAAGAAAGCCCTAGGGGACAGCTCCACTCTGTCACATGGTGTCATTATGAGTTGGAACTCAACTCGACAGCACCTAACAAGATGAGGATTTGGGCTCATGGAGCCAGATGGTGTTGGTGGGGACTGCAGCCCAGGATTGATATTAACCGAGCAATCTAGCAGAGAAGGCTGAACAGCCCTAACCCATAGTTCTAATTCCTTCTCTCACTGTAGCTTGGGTCCTCTGGGCTCTGGTGGATTTGTGCCTTTTGGCTTTGACGGGATTCTTCGTGGAACAGCTACGTGTTTCTTTGCATTTGTTGGCTTTGATTGCATTGCCACGACAGGTAACGATGATCATTTGACCCCATCGGGACTTTGAGCACAGTTTGGGTTGCCAGTATTGAGCTGCACAAAGTTGGTAGAAGGCTTACCTGATTTGGGGGATATAAGAGAGACAATGTGAAGGTCAAGTGCTTACTTGTAAATGAAAAGGTTTGCGTTCAAACCCACCCAGAAGCTCCACTGGAGATCTGCTCCTATTAAGATGGCAGGCTGGGGACCCTCTGGTGGGGCAGCGACTCAATGACAACAAGAGGATAAGAGGATTTTTGTGCCTTCACCTTAGAGTGTTTTCCTGACCCAATGCTTTCCTGCCTCTCCTATAGGAGAAGAAGCCCGGAATCCTCACCGGTCCATCCCTGTGAGCATTGTGCTCTCCATCTTCATCTGCTTTCTGATGTATTTTGGCGTCTCCTCAGCACTCACCCTCATGATGCCGTATTACCAGATCTACTCTGAGAGCCCTCTGCCGGACGCGTTTCTCCGTATCGGATGGGCCCCTGCCAGATACGTGGTGGCCATTGGCTCCCTCTGTGCCCTTTCATCCAGGTCTGTGTCAAAAGCGTTTTCCCTGTTGTCAGTATCCCAGCCCTCGGGATTGTGGGATCAGAGGAAAAGATACCTTCCTCTGTAGGCTGTGGAGAAAGTTCAGTCACCTCATTCCTTTATTTTTCCTCCATCATCTTCTTATTATTAAAACACACACACACACACACACACACACACACAACACTCAACACTTCCACATTTACATTTCTCATGTTCTGCCGCCATTCTCAGTGTCTCCCCAAGAGCATGAAGTCAGTGCCACCCAAAGAAAACCTTCTCTCCCTCTCCCTCCCACTCCTTGTAGCCACTAACCACCTTTGGTTTCTAGGTGTTTATTTATTTCTTATAAGTTCACATAGTGTTTGCCCTTTTACGGCTCACTTATTTCTCTCAAGGTTCTCTCGTGTCTTCAAGGTTCACCCATTTCTGTGGTGTGCATTGGGACTTCATTTCTCTGTTGTTGTTGTTGTTAAGTGCTATTGAGTTGGTTCCAACCCGCAGTGACCCTGTTTCGGGTTTCCGAGGCTATAAATCTTTTTATGGGAGCAGAAAGCCTCATCTTTCTCCCACGGAACCACTGGTTGTTTCAAATTGTTGACCTTGAGGTTAGCAGCCAAACTCATTTCTCTTTACAACTACTTCAAATTCCACTGCAGTACAGTGAATTACCTAATACGGACCCTTAACCATGTATGCACGATCCTGTAACTCCCTCATCGCACACAATGATTGGGTGGGACTATGCAAATAAGGTGTTTGTGACCCACTCAGAGGATTGGACAGTCTATTAAGAATGCAAATAAGGTGCATGGAACTCCTATTGGGGGTGGGTGGAGTCCAGTGAATATGGCCCTTCCAGCTCTAGTTCTCCATTTTGTGGTATATTATGTCTAGTTTGGACTGATTTATGTTAATAAGGTAAGATTAGGGTGGGATGTATCTTGAGTTTTATTAGGGGGTGTGACTCAATAGAAAGCAAGTTGGAGAGAGAGAATGCCTGACCTCTGCCTGTGAGGAGCCAGCCATGATTCTCTCTTCCCCCCGGGAAGCTGTGTCTACAGTGTGGGCCTCGTTCTGTTTATCTGCTCATCTGCTGATGGGCATTTCAGTGGTTTCCACGTTTTTGGCTACTGTGAAAAGTGTGGCAGTGAACATCCAAGTACAGGCTTCTGTTTGTGTCCGTGCCTTCACTTCTTCGGGGTTTAGATGGGTATACCTTATTGCATTAGGCAAATCTGCTGCATGAGACCTTTTCAAAGTGTTGAAGAGTAAAATGTCAGCTTGAGGACTAAGGTGTGCCTGATCCTAAGGTGTGCCTGATCCAATCTATGGACTTTTCAATAATCTCATAAGGATGCAAAAGTTGGACAGTGAATAAGGAGGACTATAGAAGAATCAGTGCTTTTGAGTTATGGTGTTTGAGGAGAATATTGAAAGTGCCACGGACTGCCAAAAGAACCAACAGATCTGTGTTGGAAGAAGTGCAGCCAGAGTGCTCCTTGGAGGCCACGATGGCCAGACTTCATCTCTCAAACTTTGGACATATTGTCAAGAGGGACCAGTCACTCAAGAGGGGATATCATGTATGGTAAGGTGGAAGGTCAGAGAAAAATGAGAAGACCCCCAATGAGATGGATTGGCAAAGTGGCACGTCAATGGGCTCGAGCATGGCAACAATAGTGAGGTTGGCCCAGGACTGGGGCGGTGTTTCACTGCATAGGGTTGCTATGAGTCAGTACTGACTCAATGGCACCTAACAACCACCACCTTATCTTACTGCACTTGGCAGATAATCATGGTGGTGGTGGTGGTGCTAACAATGAAGGTTTGTGGCAACCCTGCATTGAGTAAGTCTGTTGGGTATGTGCTCTCTTTGTGTCATGTTTTGGCCATTCTCACGATATTCTGGGTGGTTCCGTGATGCTATTGCCCACTTCACAGATGACAGTATAATGTGAGCATTATTTTTATACACACTGGGAAACCAGAAACGAAAAGAAGTCCGACTTGCTTTATTGTGGTGACACGGCGCCGAGCTACAGCATTTCTGGGGCATGCTGGAACCAGCAGTAGGACTGGTGGGTCCCACGAGATTCCTAGTGTTCAATTATCGAGGACCCACCCAACTGTTTCCCCAGCGGCTGCACCATATTACATTCCCACCAGCAGCAGATGAGGACCCCAAGGCCTGCACAACCTCTCCACCACTTGCTGATTGCCATTGTCCTCATGTGCGCCCTCCTTTTCTTTGCTAGCCTCCTGGGTGCCATGTTCCCCTTAACGCGGGTCATCTACTCAATGGCGGAGGATGGGCTCCTTTTCCGAGGCCTCGCCAGGATCCATGCCCGGACGCAGACCCCTGTAATGGCCACCCTGGTCTCTGGAATCATTGCAGGTGAAAAGACACAAATTTGCGTTGCCTTTGATCATCAGCTTGACTTGGCTGTTTCCAGGTGTTTCTCACCCCACTCTTCTGTTGTTTTTTTTGACCCTTAATTCTAGCACTCATGGCATTCCTTTTTGAGCTCAGTGATCTTGTGGACCTCACATCAATTGGAACCCTGCTTTCGTACTCCATGGTGGCTTTTTCTGTTCTTGTCCTCAGGTAACACTCCCCTAGACCTTTATTGGAGGCCTTCGACTCCTGGGATGCCTGGGAAGCTAGTTCTCCTCTCCTGCCTTGATACTGACCCTAAGTGGACTATTACAGTAGTCCCTGACCTGGTGCTGTATGATAAAGCCTGGACTGATAGCCTCAAGGGGTCAGAGGTTCAAAAGTACCAGCCGCTCCTCAGAAACTCCACAGGATAGCTGTGAGTTGGAACTGACTCGATGACACTTAACAATTGTTTGATGTCTTCAAGTCCATTTCAACTCACACAACCCTGTGGGACTCCGGAGAATGGCCTCATAGGGTCTTCCTGGTTGTGATACTTACAGAAGCCCACATCAATAGGTCTTCCTCCTGCTGACCTGGGAGGGAGGCCAGGCCTGAGTACGGGCCAACATTAATGTTGCCATAATACTTCTAACCTTCAGGTACCAGCCAGATCACAAAGTAAGCAAGGGTGACCCAGTAGCGGCGGGGATGTTTGAGATGAGTTCGGTTCCAAAGCCTTTGGAATCTGGAGCTGAAACGGAAAGGAGTCGGAGCTGCTCCACCAACATTGTCTGCGTTCTGAAATCTGGCCACATCGTCTACATCAGTGCCTCTGTGCTTGGTAGGTGGTGGGGCTGAAACCACTTTGGGGTGCTCTGAAATGGAAAAGGTGGGGCAGTCGTAGGGGTGTGCTCTTTGGAGCTGAGGAAGCACCTTGTTGTTGTTTTTTAATGTTTTATTGTGAATTATGTGATAGTTTACATGGGAGAACATTAGCTTTACATTCATCCTATCGGATATCATATCATTGCCATGGTTACAATCCCCTCCATGCGTCATCAACCAGCCAAGGCCTGCACCCCCCCAGTCATCAGCATACAGCCCCTCTCCGGGTCCATAGTCCCCAGCCGCTCCATCTCTCCACATCATTGTCTCTGCCTTGAGGAGGCACCTTGGAGAGCCGATGGCCCTGCTTGATTCGGGCAGTTTGGGGTTGGGATGTAGCCCAATGTCCTCGCACATGTGGCATCTAGAACTGGACCTGACCTCTGCCAACTTGTCCTTCCCAGTCATACTGCTGATGGTCCTCTGCCTGATACTGACCCAGTGGCTCGGACGCCTGCTGTCCGGGGACCCTGTCTATACAACCGTGACTGTGCTGCTGCTGGTGGTCATTACTGGGCTCACGGTCATCATTGGGAGACAACCCCAGGACCCTACAGCGCTTTACTTCAAGGTAGGTGCTCTTCACTGCCACAGCCACCCACTCTTGGAAACGCTGAAGTCTAACAAGTTCATGAACGTTTTTAGAAACAACTTATTTTCTGTCATTCCTGGGACTCGACACCGCAGTACACCTGCCAGTTTGTCAGTTTCTACACGTGCACTTCAGTGGCTGTGATCACATGATCACATGATCACATGCTCTGTGTTGTGGGATCATTCTTGTCCTCCTTCTGAGCTGTCCCGTCCTCCATCAACATCAACTCTCTGCCCCCTAAGTTTCTTATCTTTCGAGTTGCTGTTGTCAAGTCGATTCTGTATGTTGCTGTGTCACTAAGTTCCGTGGAGTGGGTTCTGACCACAGAGACCCTGTGTAGGTTTCTAAGGAGCAGCTTCTAAGGTCTGAAGCACTGATTTTGCTGTTAGCAGTCCGGTGTTTATCCTACAGTACCACACCAAGACTCCCGAGTCTGTACATTGTTGTTAAGTGCCTGTGAGCATCTGTTGGTTTTGAGTGCATTACCATGACAGGTGACCATGGCCACTTGGCTGCATCGGGGCTTTGGACACAGTTTGGGTCCCCAGTATTGGGCTGCAGAGAGTTTGAAGTTCAAACTGACCCTGTGGTCCAGCGCTTATCCTGCCTACAGTGCCACAGCTGACTCCACATGTTGTTGAGCCATCAAGTCGGTTCTGACCCATAGCAACCACCAACCTGTGGTTAGCAGTCCAGTGCTTATCCCACAGCACCACATAGATCTTAAAAAAGGTACAGAATTGTCTTTAAGACAGAATTGTTTTACTAGTGAAGCTAAACTCTCATTTATTCTTTTTGATTTTTTTTTGGTAAATGTTTTATTGTGATTTATATGATAGCTTACATGGGAGAACATTAGTTTTACATTCATCCTATCAGGTATAATTTAATTGCCATGGTTACAGTCCCTTCCATGCATCATCAACCAACCAAAGGGTGCACCCCGCAAGCCTCCCCCCACCCCCCCAGTCTTCAGCACACAGCCCCTCTCCCTCTCTGGGTCTAGAGTCTCCAGCTGCTCTATCTCTCCATGTCATCGTCTCTGCCTCCATCTCAGGCATGACTGCTTCTCTGGGTAGGGTCCCGCTCTTCGCTCTTCTCCCTTGATGGTCCCAGATACCTCCGCTCCTAGACTGCAAAGTCAACCACTCCCCTCCTTTTGCTACAAAACATCTACCTTTACATTTCCAACCCTCACAGTCACTCCTGATAGTAATTATTCACTAATGTACCACATGAGTGCTATCCCCATCTTCTTGTATCAGCCCCACCCAGACAGATTGGATACTACTCCGTGGAGATTTCTACCTTCCTCCACACCCTCTGGATCTAGGCTCCCTTTTCAAAGCTTGTAAGCCAGTCACTTCTTGCCTTTGTAGGCCTTCCCACCCGACGTTTTGGGTAGCCAGTGTCCAAGTTGCCCATCCCTGTCTACTCTGTGTATGGAGGGGGGGGTGGGAATGATTCTTGCTGTGAAAATTTGTTCCCTCTTTTGAACTACTGCATCCATAGGTGTAGGTCAAGTTCATCAAATTGTATCAGATTCCTCTGTTTCCTCTTCTTTCTTCTTCTAGTTGAGCTCTGATCATCCAGCCATTGATTCCAGGTCAAGTTGTTTCTTTTTAAGATTTCGGGGGAGATATTTTTTCTTTTTAAGGTTCAAAGATTATCTCAGGGCAAGAGATCCAGCCTCCGCAATTCAAGAAAATCTGGATTCCACAGGAATTTGCAAATCTCTTTTTCACCGCATTTAATCAGGATTCCTCTATTGAATTTTTGTTTTATTTCTTCTCTAGAATCTTTATGTGATTTTTATTTTATTATATTTTATTTCTTCTCTAGAATCTTTATGGGTGGGCACCACCTAGCTCTTCTGGTTTCAGGGCCCAGCAGGTAGTTGAGCCCACAGATATTTTTTACTGGACCAGGGAGAGGTCCACTACCTGCTTAACTCCCCAAATACCTGTCTCCTCTGAAATAGATCATGAGATACTTAGTATGAAGAGAGGTGGGGCACGAATGAATCTCAGAGTTAGCCATGGGGGTGTGGTGGATGATGTTGGTTACAGTATTCCCAGGGAACTTCTGCAGGGAAAGGCCAGTTTGCAGTGGGTGGACTTCTTGGGTGCTGAGAAGACAGAGCATGGACAATAGGTGGCCAGAACACAGCCTGAGTCAGGCTGGAGTCTTCTTCCCTCCCACCCAGGTGGGGCTCAGGACCCTCCTTTTGGACTCTGTGACATGTTTGGGGACTCAGTGGCTGTGCTTGGCCCACAGGTCCCTGCGTTGCCTGTCCTCCCCTTGGTGAGCATCTTTACGAATGTTTACTTGATGATGCAGTTGACCTCTGGGACCTGGGCACGATTTGGGGTCTGGATGATGATTGGTAAGTGGCTTCCTGGGGAAAATGAGAGTCCTGGGGTGACTCCACCTAACATCCTTCCCCCAAACTGTCCCAGACATCAGAAGTATGAGGCCTGCTGGCCATTCCTAAATGGGGACAATGACCACTGTCTGGCCTTTTTGCCTCATTTCCCTACTAGGGTTTGTTATATATTTTGGATATGGGATCCGACACAGCCTGGAGAAGAGTAGCCAACAGCCACCAACCTCAAGCTCCCAAACGATTGGCGAAAAGAACCGGAAGGCTGAATTGGTCTAAGGACGCAAACACTGGCAGCTTCTTCTGTCGGTGGGGTAAAGTTTGCATCTCTGTAGAGTGATGGACTGGGGTGTGTTTAGGGTCCTGTATGTATTACTAGTGGACGAAATATATTTAATGTTGGGTAGTTTTTAAGAGTTTAAAGGTACATATACAGTTGTCTTAGCTATTGGGTGCTGCAGTAACAGAAATACCACAAGCGGATGCCTTTAACCATCTCATGGTTTCCAAGGCTGGACGTGCAATCGAGAGCACCAGCAGGGACGCGTTCTCTCTGTCAGTCTGGAGAAAGGTCCCTGTCTCCTCTCAGCACCGTGGTCCCAGCACTCCTGGAAGATTCCCATGGGTCTTGGCATCAGCCTTCCTCTAGATGCCTCTCCTATAGGAGAAGAATCCCGGAATCCTCACCGGTCCATCCGGTCCATCCAGATCCTCTGCATCTCTGAGCTTCACAGCACCAGGCTCCAAGTCCAGAGGACAGTCTCCACTCCCGACTCTTCTTTCTTGGAGGCAGTATGTCCCTCTGAGCCCGGCTTGCCTATGTAGTCTCTTTGGGGTGCTGGTGTGGCACTGTAGGTTAAGCACGGGATGGCTAACTGATAGGTTGGTAATTCAAACCCACCAGCCGTTCCTCGGAAACCCTATATACAGAGTCACTATGAGTCGGAAATGACTCCATGGTACTTAAAACAACAACAGTCAAGGGTTAGCGGCACCCCATTGGCTGAATGTGCATTCACCACACTGCCATCGAGGTTGAGGACATTTTCATGATTACTGTCATTTTTAACACTGTTTAATGAAAATGCCCTTAAAGATTTATGTTCATTATTCACTTTTTGCCTTATTGTAAATTTATGGGAAATATTCATAGAGGCCAACGGTGTCTCATGCTGAGAGTAGTTTTGGTGGTGTTAGGTGATGTTGGGTAGGGAAGGTCCCACTCACAGGGACCCTGTGCACCACAGAACGTCCTGCACCTTCCTCACAGTGGTTACATTTGAGGTCACTGTTGTTGTCACTGTATCAAATCCATCTCACTGGGGGTCTTCTGCTTTTGGGCTGACGTCCTTCTCCAGACACTGCTCCCTGCTGACAACATGTTCAGAGTATGAGAGACAATGTTCTCGGCTTGCTGGCTTCTCAGGAGCGTTCTGTCTGTACTTCTTTCAAGACAGATTTGTCTGTCCTTCTGGCAGGCCATGGTCCTTTTCAGTATTGTTCACCAACACCGTAATTAAAAATGAATTGATTCTTCCACTACGGTCTTCCTATTTATTCATTGTTCAGCTTTCACATGTATCTGAGGCTACTGAAAATACCACGGCTTGAGTCAGGTGCACCTTAGTCCTCAAAGTGACATCTCTGTTCAACACTCTAGGTTTTTGGTAGCAGATTTGCATAATGCAATGCACTGGTTTGATTTCTTGACTGCAGCTTCCCTGAGTGCTGGCTTAGAGGTAGTTCTGCTCTTGTTACGTGCCACGGAGTCGGTCTCAACTCTTAGAAACCCTGTATTAGGTTTCCAAAGAGCGGCTGGTGGTTTGAACTGCCGACCTTGTGCCTAGAGCGTCACACCAGGATTCCTGTATTAAGGAGGACATCATGCTTGGGTAAAGTGAAGGGTCAGCAAAAAAAAGGAAGACCCACAACAAGGTCAGAACCGACTCGACGGCACTTAACAACAACAACAAGATAGACTGGCACTGTGGCAGCAGCGATGGGCTCCCATGTAGCAGGTATTGGGAAGATGGCCCAGAAATGGGCAGTGTTTTGTTCTGTTGTGCAGAGGGTCGCTGTGAGTTGGAACCGACTGGTACCTACCGTCTTTCTCCTGAGAAGCGGCTGGTAGGTTCGAATCACTCACCTTTCAGTTAGCAGCCAAGCGCTCAAGCACTGCGGCATCAGGGTTGCCTCTTCCCTTCTAAGAGCGCTAGTCCACTGCCTCTGACATCCCAGGTTCTAGTCTAGCTGCTGGGATGCCATGGTGACCCTGGGTCGTGGTCTTGCCTTTCAGGCCATGTGGATGTTTGTATCTCCCACAGGTGATTCCGTTTAATGGTTAAACGGGAAGCGAGCTCTGGCCAGTCTTTCTGGCTTTCAACTAAGCCTGTCATTACTATTGTTAGTGTCACGAGTCGATGCTGACTCATAATGACCCTGTACAGGGTTCTCAGGAGCGACTAGTGGCCGTTCAGTGCTTAGCCTTTAGTGCCACCCCAAGCCTCCAAGTGAGTCCATACACTTCTCTGTTGGACTTGGCTATACCCGGGCAATCTCATCGGCATCTGAAGACGGTGATGGTGCCCACAACCAGAGGTGCCTCAGGACAGCGAGGAAGCCTGGGAGGGGCTGCTCAGGATGCGGTGACCACCCCCAACACCCTCATCTGAATGTAGGTAAGTCCTAGTTCCTGTCCCCCAGTGGAGAGCTGCTGGTTCTG